GGCGCGATCTGATCACGAAGGCGGTTGCCGAGGTGCGGGAGAAAGGCCTCGTGCATGCAGAGAAGAGGCGTCCATGGCGGAAGTGACAGATGCCGATGGGTTGTACTGCATCGGCATCGAGCGCATGGTGCTGTAGCACATGCGGTCGCGAGTGCCTGAGTGAGGCAGGCCTAGTGAGTCATGAGGAGACCACTCGAGGCCACCACCGAAGCGATGACGGGTCCTTCAGAGAACGTAGGTAGAACTGCGCAGCGTTTGTTGGCACGCTGTATTCGGCTTGCTAACCGCCTATTTGCATGCTGAGTCTCTTTGTTTCATGTGGTGGGTTTGCTATATTGTCCTAGTGCTTTTTTATCTCATATTATTGTCTACCTGAACTGTCTTCTATAAACTTGCACACGTCGCTTAAGCTAATTGTAGTTAACTTCGATAACATTTTCGCGATTGTAGCATTCTCTTAAGAATAGATATATATTTGTGTATATATATATATATATATATATATATATATATATATATATCGTTATTTCAATTCATCGATGCTCGTCCTCCTTTGGTCCCCAGCGAAACAGGCGTGTGGATCCAGCGGCAGCAAGACGTGAGATCATTTGATATCTTACCGACAACTGGACGTCTGATCACTGCGTGGTCTCTTGCAGCCGGGACCTATACAAGCCAGCCAGTGCGCGATGGGGCAGTCAGTTGCTACGCAGAACTTATCTGTGCCATCTTAACTGGTGCAGCCAAAATCGCGTGTTGAAGTGAATAATCGCATTCCCAAAGACACGAAGTCTGGCTTGACTGCTGTAGATACGCTATTTCTGCGACAAATAAGCAGTCATTTTTAAGTACCCATTGTCGAAGGCCCAGAGCCTATGCACGTCATCCACGCCAACTGGCCAACACCACCTGAACGGTGACATTGCACACTGGACCCTTTATCAAGAGGGAGACATCCCGACGACGCCACAACTGACGCAGGTTGTCAAACGCCGACCGAGCCTTGGTGATGCGGAGATAGACTTCCTTTTCAATATTGCTACCAGCAGATACGCATCTGCCCTGATAGACAAAGCTATCGACATTTTCAAGCTGTGCACCTTCAAGAGTGAGCACGGGAACGTTCGAGTGTCAATCTCTGCTAAGCACTTTACACTTCGACGAGTAGAAGCACATTCCATACTTAGATGCCTCAATCACCAAACGGTTTAGGATGGTTTTCATACTCTACGAGTCATTACTACATAATGGTAAGTCGTCCGCATAATCTAAGTCGACCGCTCGCTTGCCCGTAGCAGCTGCAGGCCAAAAATTTGGCCGGCTTTCAGAGCTATTGACAGGACGTTTCTAATCGTAAAATTGAAAAGGAATAGAGACGTAGGGAAGCCCTTTCGTTACTGCTATTGGCAGCGAAGGTCTAACGGAGACGTGAAAGTAGAGTGCGCGCAGGATGGGATAATACTTTTCCGGGATCTCGTTCCTTAGCAAATAACGCCATAAGGGAGATCGATCAACTGAGTCGAATTCTGCACGGATGTCTATGAATGCGACGATAATAGTCTTCTTGTAAAGATGACAGTGTTAAAGGCTTTGTCGCAGCGTAAACATGTGATCAAAATACCCATGACCAGCACGAAAGCCATCTTGTTCTTCCCGAATCGAGGATTGTCAGCAAAGCAGAATGGATACCAATAGCTTGGAGGTAACTGAAATGAGACTAATCCCCCAGTGATTGGCACGGTCCGTGTGAGCACTCTTGTTAAAAATCAGGGCATCAAATTATTCGCCCCAGGAAGAAGGCACCTTTTAGTCATGCCCAATTTTGGGGAACGATGTAGTTAGCTGGCTGACGATAACTGCGTTGCCATAGTTGAGCATCTTCGGAGGAAGTCCGTCAGAGCCGGCAACCTTAAATCGCTTCAAGTATCGAATCTCAAAGCAAACATCCGCTTCTTTGGCTTGGTCAAGTGTGACGACTCAGGGTAGGCAGCTGGGTTCACAGGGCATACAAGTGGATGGTAAGGGCCAATTGAACTGGGAATGAAAATATCCGGTCCATCGACTCAAGCGTCGCTGCAGGTTTTCAATCACCGGACCCTCACCTTCGCAAGTAGTCTCACTGACACTAGGTTTCCTGTGTGCAATAGAACGAATGAGCTGGAAGAGCTTGCGAGTATTTCCAGACAGAGCAGCGGCTTCCGTCTCCGAACCATGCTCAGGATATCAGGCTTTGCGGTCACTGCGCAGGCTTTGTTTGAGCTGTCGACTAACTGAACGGCGCACTACGTTATGATTAGATTCCGCTGCAATATTTCTGCGGTGGTCAGATAAATCCCAGAAGCGCGTGGTGGTCCAGCTTTCATGGCATGCTGAATAAGACTGACTGTCCGGAAAAGATCGTGGTCTTCTGCATGGACGTCCATTGTCTTTCAATGTCTTGCGGTCGGTCGCACGTGAGTGCATCGACCAGGGAAGATTGATGGCTCTACTTAGCCGAGGGAGTGAATAGTTTATTGGTAACTATCTTACAGTGCTGCTTTTTCCGTGACCATCCGAAACTAGTCAAGTCAAGTCCGTATAAGCTTTATGTACCCAAAAGGGTGCATTTCCAGAATTTTACCTTATCAACTGTAAATTTACCAAAAATGTGGCGGGCCTTTAAATCGGCTTTACCTTTCTTGCTGAACATCATTTTTACATGAGCTACTGTATATATATCTCAGTATTGCAAGATTACAGCGACAGGTATTTTGTTAAATCAATTTCCAAGAACACTGAGACCCTTTACTCTTTCCAACTTTGAATATGCACGCGAGATATCGCGCACGATCCCCGATATATTGTCTCTGGACACAAAATTCTACGTCAGTTGAAACGAATTCTGAAGAAACAATTTTACGAAACCTTTTCCGTTTTCAATGGATACAAATCCCGAAGATTTAGTCCAGCTTTTTGGGATCGTTGTTCGATCGATCAATGACAGTAAATCCTCAATTTTCTACCCATTTGTAAACTTAGCATTTTTAATGGTAACTCTTTGGTAAATTTACAGTTGATAATGTAAAATGCTGAAAATGCACCCATTTGGGTACATAAAGCTTATACTGACTTGACTTGATACTATGCAGTGGTTCGCACAGGTAGGAGCATGGTCAGAGTTATGAAATGTGGACCAGATTGATCTGCTATCATTCGCACTACCCCGCCATCTGAAGCTGATTGCGATATGATAAATCTGAGGTCATGATTGAGCTGCAGAAGGGGGGAACCAGGCAGCGGAAGGTCTCTTCGAATTCCTGAAGTTAATGCTTTAGCGAAACAGACCTTTGTCTTCACACACTGTGAGAAGTCTCCTTTATCTAAGCTACTCTCATCGAGCGCATTTTGATCACCGAGGTGACTTTCACATGATAATAGGAAACTGACCCCTGCGTTGAGATCTCTAGCATGAACAACAATATCGGGTTGGCGTGCTCTGTTCTAGAGCTGGTTAATTTCACGATAGAAATCGTCCTTGATCGAGTCACAACAGCAGTCATTTGGAGCGTATACTGTGGTCACAAGCAAGTTGCGTCTCTCCTCACGACGTCTATTGTTCTGGCATGATCTCTGAAGCCGAATTGTACACAGTTGGCTATTAATCGCGAACCAGTCCAGTAGTGCAGTCTCAGCTTTGCTACTTAATACTGCATCATTGCCAGCCGAGCCTGCCGCAACTGCTTCTGTGTCACCAGCTAGAGGTAGGTGTACTATAACCCCTTGGTGGGTGTAGATCTGAACACAATCACAGTGCTGGGATATTGCAATCGGGTTTAGGTAAGACAGCAAGCATCAGTGGCGAGAGATTCCAAAGTGCACGTAAGTCCAGCCTTTTACCCGATCTACCTAAGTGTGCGTACATTGAGGCATGCCAGACGGAACAAAGATCAAAGCCGATGGAGAGCCACTGGGAAAGCGCTGTGGACGTCGTCGAAATCCTCGGGAGTAGAATCATGGAAACAGGAATCAGTTGGTAACGGATAACAGCGGTCGGTAACAAATTAGTAGGTGGTGTGTGAATCTAGTCTGTGAGTATCGGAAACGAAACCAATTGAGCGCGGTAAAGCAGCACATACTTACTGGAGTGCAATGATCCACTGAGTTGAACCAAGGGGGTATGGGCTTTATTTAGTGGCAAGTCACATCCGCCATGTCGCGGCGTTGTTAAGCAGACATTTGTGACCTCTATAGGGAGAACACTTGTCATTCAAGAACCCACCGCGTCCTATAACACTGCCACATAACAATTTACTGGAACGGAGTAGACCCGAACCACCCAACTGGCACCACGAATAGGTAGTTTGCCAAGCCAGCTCACCATTCGGATGCAATATGCCGAGCCCTTGTTCTCTTACGTGAATGTTGCTAATGGACGTTTGCTCATATCGACAGTGAAATACACTTGATCCGTTAACAGTTAATACCCATTAGTTCTCGTTAATTGCATACACTATGATAGTTAATATGCTTGGCTTGTAGTCTAGTTTCACCTTGAGTTTGCCATTATGGCGTTTGGTTCCTCATGTATTATTATGCTTGGCATGTTCCAGGTACGGGAAACGCAGTAACCATTTCTTGAGGCGATAACCTTAGCGCTATGGCAGTTTCACTTCATCAGGCTTACCGATTTCAGCATGACATACCCTCTGCTGACTTGTGTTTGCTAACGATGGAGAATGTGTTCAAACCTATTAGTTTTACTCCAGCTGATTTGACTCCGTTATCCCACATGTGGAATACTGAATAACTTATTTCAAACTTTACGTAGTTCATGTTTTCGCTGAATGCTGCTCTAGCTTACTAGCTTTTTTTGCTCCCCCCATCCCCAATTCCTCCGTAGCTATCATAACCCCCTACATGTTGTTTATCTTTTCCATTCCCATTACTGCTGCTTTGCTCTACTTTAAATACCATTTTGCTGGATAAATGTGCGTTTCTCTCGGATATTCTTTTCTTTTCAGTTAATGATGGCTCCTCATCCTCTCCCGCCTCTCCCGAGCGAAGTATTCGAGCAAATGCCTCTTTCGGCCGACTCGCTGAAGCTGGAAAATCGTTCAGCATGTCTTATGTTGAGTCATCACCTATTATGTTATTCAAAAATCCAACAACCACCACTGTTCCTCATCGCCACGGTTCCCATTTGAATCGTGTTGCCTCAAAGTCACTTGTTGCCTTACCGAACCTCCCCGACAACATTTCTCAGCCACCTTCCATCCATTCTCCCACCTCATCCATCACGGGAATTGTGGTTGTATCCCCTGGATTATCGACGAATTTCCGATCATCGAGCTCCGTGGATATCAGCGCCCAGGATTCTACTACCGATCCCGCAATCGCAGAGATCAGAAGGCTTCGACGGCTTCCTATTTTCCATCCCCTCATTCCTAGTTCGTCGACTGCGAACTTTGCACCACCAGGTACCGGTAGAGTATACCGGCCCTCTCTCGCTCAGCTTGATTCCAAAGACGTACGTCTAGGCACCTTAGGAATGATTCTTGAATCATTTATGCAACTGTGTGACCTTAAGCCTTCTTAATTCTACCTGATTCCACGTTTTATTCTCACATGAAATTTGCCGGACGTAGCATAGCACCTTATCGTATTCTAAATTATAATCACGTTGTTACCGTCCGCCTGCTACGCGTCCGACCGACGCACCCAGACTATCTGGTCGGTTGTGTCATCCGGGTCTGTCACAGATTTGCTTCCTGATTTAGAACAGACAATCGTAGTCTATCTGGTGCATCCACTCTGTGGACACAGATTTCGTCGTCACTTCCTCTTTTATTCCCTTTGTTCTACTTCCTGATCAATGTAATCGGGGCCGCAATTTCATTCTTGTCCCTGAGTTCCCTCATTTGCAATATGAACGAGTTATCCTCGCTTCCCACTCAGCTCTGTATCTTACCCGAATTGACCAATGATGGGAAGCATTCACACCGACCCTCATCTTACTCACTTGTTTTTACCAGACACCAATGGTACTCAGAACCGACTATACGTCGATCACTTTTGCTAGGGTCCTTTTATCACTCAGGTGCAATGAACGACTCTTTCCTGCAATTGCCGCATTTTTTTCGTTTTAATGCGTTTCACCCATCCTGTGGCCTACCACCACATTCTCTTATGTCGGATTCCCTCATTCCTCTAAAGTAATAGTTTCCAACCTTTTTGAGGCCGTTACCCCCAAAGCGGGTTCACTTTAAGCAGTTACCTCCAAACTTTCTAAAGCTAGCTAACAACTACTGCATATTTTCTTTAAATTACGGCAAATAAATACCATATGTAATTACTTTCGATCATGCGAATAAACGAGACCTCCATTGTAGTGCGAAGAAAATCCATGAGTTTCCTTCCTTAAGTGCCGCGTTCAAAGTATTTTTGCTGATGTCCTGAAGGCAACTTTGATGGTGCTGTTAGAAAGCGATATCACACTTATCCTTAACGCATGTTGCTGTACACCGGCAATTCTTAACATTTTTAGGCTCTCACAAATGGGGTTTGCTATAATCAACCCGTCCCCCTCCCAATTTTTGTCCCAAACGTTAACTAACGAATAACTATCGCGCTGTTTGCTTCTAACTACGGGAACTGATAGCTATTTGGAATAACTCTCGATTAATAAAAGAAAGAAAACATTTGTTTGGTACAACATTGTATGTAATCAAGAGGCGATATACATCAATGGGATGATTGATATTGCTTAGTGCTAACAATTTCTGGTATATTTGGTTCAGTTTCTGCTAATGCACATCGGAAGTCGTGCTCCAGGTTCATTCGACTCCTTGCTTTTGTTTTCATTGAAACCATTGTCGAAAATCCACTTCCACATCTATTAGTGGTTGCAAATGGGATCAATATTCTCAATGCTCTTTCCGATAGCAACGGATCATCACCACCTATCTTTATCCAAAATGCTACCAGTGGTGTGCTTTAGAAATCTATTTTTAATTCGTTATCTTCGAGCATTCCTAGGAATTGTGCTTTGACTTCGATGGCATTATCCGGAAAGATTTTCTCATCCACTGAAAAGGGTCTTAGCACCCAGGCATTTACTTGGCGATTTTCCAAATCAGGAAAATATTTGCTGTTGGAACGGACCACTGATGACAAGTGGCAAGTTATATCATCTGTGAAAGCGCATGTTTCATTTCTTCCAGTGAGCACCATTGGTAGTGCTGGTAACATCGATACATTGTCACTTGTTGCTCTGTGTTGGTGAAGCTGCATTTTACGAAGAAAACTGGCAACCTTATCCTGAGCAATTAAAATATTAACCATATTTCCTAGCAAGCTGAGGTTCATTGCATTTATTTCTCCGTAGAAATCTGCAAAATATGCTAGTTTGAAAACATACGTTGTCTGTTATCATGACGTGTAACCCGTTCACCTTGCCCTTATGCAGCTCCTTCCTTTCAAGAAACATTGCATTTTCTTCTCGAAGCTCGAGTACTCGGTGCAGCACCCTGCCTCGTAACCAACGCACTTCCGTGTGCAATAACAACACATCGAATTTGCCTCCAAATTCATTGCACAACTCTTTGAAAACTTGTATATGTCGCACTACTGTGGATGACATTTATTATTGTCACTACGTTGGTTAACATGTCCAGCAAAACAGGCAGAAGAGTTTTCACTGCTAAAGCATAACGATGTATTATGCATTGGCTGAATGTACAGTGCAGAGCACATTTTTTGACTAGCGTTTGGAATCCAGAACGGACGCCCAACATGGATGGTACTCCGTCTGTACAGATACCCACTAACCTCGACCACTGTAGATCCTTTTCCTTGACAAAATCCTTCACCGTTCGAAAGACATATTCGCCACGTGTAGTTGTGCACAATGATTCTGAGCACAAGTACTCTTCTTTGAAGCGGTCGCCTTTTATGTACCGAACATAGACCAGTAGCTGGGAACAGGATGCAACGCCGGTCGACTCATCTAACTGAATTGCGAAGAAGGGACGACTTTATTTCGTTGAGCGCCTTACTCCAAATATTTTTGCTCATATTCTCGATACGACTTTTGATTGTGTTGTTAGAAAGTGATATCATGCTTATCTTTTCTGCATGTTGCTCTCCAAGAAGGAGCTTTACGACATCGATTATGCAAGGTTTTATGAGATCCTCTCCTATAGCATGCGCTTTCTTGTTTTTGGTGATTCGGAGAGCGATGCGGTACGACGCTTCAAGACCAGCTTCAGTTGACTGAAAAAAGGAGCCCGATGTATCCTGGCGCAAATTTTTGAGCGCAGTTTCTTTCCGTTTGAAGAATGTAATATCTTTTCCTACAAACTGAGAATGACTTTGGTCGAAGTGGTCTTTCAATTTTCTGGGTTTCATGCTCTCCCAAGTGAGCATTTTGCTGCACAAAACACATTGCGGCTTCTCAACATTCTCCGCGACAAAATTGGTGAAACCCCATTGCAGAAAAGCTTCTTTGTAGGACCACTTTTTTCCAGAGGACATGGTTCACGTAAAAAATTAGACAACTAAATGATTTATACAAATATGAATATTTTCGTGATTTAATATAGGTGACGTTAGCGTAAACGTTTGCAAATGAACTCATTATTGTCGATATCAAAACCATTGAATTAAATCACGCACCTGCTATGGTTTCTTGTCAAAAACAACTGTAGATGAATATGATCAACCCAAGACCCAATGCTCATTGACATCCAATCCGCTGATTCTGCCTTTCTTGTGACCCAGAACGCGGTGTTCTGCACACTTTCAAATGCCTGCTGTTATCTTTATTCAAGGCATCATTTGACCCTTTCTTGTGGGGTTCATGATCAAACATGAACAGATATCAGTGCCTTCACGTGTTGCATCCATCCATTCCAAGTCATTCCTGCACCACTCTGTATTGATACGTTGTGAACACTAATCTCCCGTTTTGACCCTTCTAACCTGAAAATAATCGCTCATCACCTTGCCTGGTCGTCTGACCAAGGCTCAACTACTACACCATTTCCCGGTCAAGTTGTCCTCTTGGGTAACAGAAATAATCTGAGGGGACATTCAACATGAGTCTACTCAATTAATTTGTTTCGTGCGTAGGAGCTGAAGCGCCCACCTGCATCCCTATGACTTAGTGCGTCTGAGGCCCAATTGGCTGAAGGCGACAGGCTATACAGGCATACCTGCACAAGTGACTGGCGTACGCACGGAACAAATTACTTGGGTGGACTCATGTTGAATGCCCCTCAGATTATTTCTGTTGCCCAAGAGGACAACTTGGCCTGGAAATGGTTTAGTTTGCAATCGACTCCATAATTCGACCCGGCGAACGACTGCCTGACGATAGCCACGGCAACCGATAGATGCGTTATCTGGTTGCAGTGACTAATGACTGGTCACTGGTGGCCTATCCATGTTTTGATACGGATGCTTTTGTTATTAAACTTGTTTATCGACCGATTGATGACCCAATCTTCGTACTAATATTTACCCCCCGCAAAATGCCATTTTACCCCTTTGGGGGTAATTACACCCAGGTTGGGAACCCCTACTCTGAAGGCATCGGTTGCCTATCGAAATGTCACCCCGAAACCTGTGGCAAACTACGAAAAGGTAAACTGCGTTGTCTCGGTGATTGGTGGCAAATCAACAAGTTCGGTCTCCGACCTGTTGTTAACTTGCGTTTCATTGCCACACATCATACTTCTTGCCACCCGTACAGGTTCAAACAATCTAACGTCTTCAAAATTGAATCTGGAGTACCGAGTTGTGTGATCGGATTGCGACTCTCAATATCTGTTTAGACCACAGTTCACTTTGAAGTAGATCTCGCTCATTCCGAGCACAAGGACCGTATCCGAAATGTCTTGTGTATACACTTCGGGTTACTAGAGTGTGTTGTTAACATTACTCGTTCACTCCTCATCCCGTCATTTCGCCGATGTTAGTGAGATCCTTAAGTAAATGCCGATTACCGATCGATCCACACTTTCGAAAACAATTGTCTTGTAAGCGTTATTCACTGGCACTTTGCACCTGTGTCGCCTGGGTGCTGTTTTTTGACTCGTTTGCGTCAAGTTTTGAATTTGGAGCCCATCTTCAGGAGATCTCAGCAGCTTCAGGAAGGTCCTCCCTGGTCAACTTTTGGATAACTTCAACGTTCTGATACCTGTGCTTGTTTGCAATCAGATGTTAGATGTTGTTAGCTTGTGCGGTGTGCTATTGAATGAGCTATGCAAGCTTGCAGGCCTTTGACCTAAATGTAACCAATCCGAATGACACAACTAGGTGTGTTCTCCCCATCAGTCTCACTCTGATTTCCATACTATTAAGTGACTGAATTGACGGAGATTCATTTCCGCATGTGAACCACAGCCCAGCTTGAGACTGCCTCGCATTCCATTCGCGCTCGACGGGTGCTTCAAATTGAGCGCTCCGATGGATCGCTAGTTATCCCCTCAATCAATCTACCGTGGGATCACCTACCGATGTCATCATTTTGCTAGCTGAGCAAGACACTGTCATGTTTTCCAGATGTTCATTGCCTGGCTATTACGGCCTAATTTCGAAATATACGGCTATTCAGACTATGTGATATCGACCTGAATTACATTGGTTAAATACTTCCAAACCGATGGAGAGATTTATCTTGTAACTTCTATTTCCATTGTTCGCTTTGAGACCGACTATTCGCCATTGATCAGTCCACTCAGTTGGATTGTGACTCGCGCCGTAGAGGAATAAGACGTTTATTTATTTATTTATTTATGTCAATACATATATCTTACCAACCTTGTTCACCGTCCCTGGATCCCAGGCTTGCAGTCGTGAGGCACCAACCGACGGAAATCCGAATTGAGGCTTCTCATTCCTTTTGACCAACATATCGCTTGGCCTCCACTTCTCTTCTTTCATCCAAACGCCCATCTTGCAAACAGCGCACGTCACCATACTCAGTCTGCTGGCATGCGGAACTTGTGACACTTACTCAATGCGGTCGATGGCTTGACTAAGTTCCTTTTCCAGACGCAGTCCGAAGGAGGATCATTCATTATCCTTTTGACCACTAATTTGAAAGAGATAGGAGATGTGTTGGGACATATCGGACACCTCACATTTTCCTACTTTCTTACAGCAAAGCTCTCCAACGACTATCACTCGACCGTGTAACTCATAATCGCATTCTCTTACATCTTATGTGGCTTTCGTCTTTAACTGTATACTTGTATCCACTTTTCAGTATGCTTTTTAATGGTTTTATGCAGGTATGTTTGTGACATCCTATGCGGCACTTTTCTTCGCCCGGATGTTTCGCAGCCACTTGCCTTGGTTTTGATGGTTTATATCGCTACTGATACGTACGTTTTGTCCGTCACATTGATCAATATCTTTGACGGATACCGTTTATTTTGTTTAGATCGTCCAAATTATCAATTGCTTCCGAGAACATCTTGGGAAATCGGTGGACGTCGTCGAGAAAAAGCAGGCCGAAATTATTGGGATGCAGAACAAAGTAACTTTTTGTACTCAGTTTCTACTCTCCTTTTATCACATTTGGCATTATGCGCTCCGAAATCGTTGCCACTGATGCATTCCATGTCTCTCCTTGTACTCACGGGTGTGATATCACATGTTTCTACTCGTTAATGTAGATGGCGCCTTAGTATACCTCAGTAGATTTCTAACCATATTTTGCTCGCCAGAATCCTTTTTTAATTGTCACTTGTTTGTGTTTGCCCTTTTATTCATGTGACTATTTTCGTTATCAATTGAAACATGAACAACGTCGCTGGTGTGTGCTCACATTGTATGGGGGCTTGCCTACTGCTGATGGGTTCCATCCCCAACTTATTTCTTCCAGATTGATTATGAAGTCAATCGGTTGATGGAATTTTTGCAGTTTCGTGAACATGGAGTTCCATCCACCTCCCAAAAAGTACTCATCGAAGGAGGGACTGTGTCAGGCAAGGCAACTCATGGCTCAACCGGAAAGAAACCAGTGGATACAATCGTCATGCAAACTAGTCAGATATCTTGTATGATCGATCAGTGCAGTACCCAGGTTCAGCAGCTTTCAGCATCTTTGCAACAGATTAACGACGCTTTACCAAATGAAAAACGTCTTCCCCCATTGAAGACCGACCTTACAAACTGATATTCATGCGCTTTTGAGACAAACTATGAAACATTTCACCCTGAAATTCGTTAGGAGCTGGTCACTCTTCTTCCGGAGATATAACTGCCACTTAATTGATGCTCCTGGCTGATTTGACGGAGACGGGTCTCGTTACGTTTGTTTAATTATACAGACGCAAACATTATGCGTCATTAAACAGATGAACCGCTGGCTATTGCCTGTCTACCTTTTGTTACCCTGTGATTTCCACTCACTACTTTTGCATCTTACCGATCCTCTCATATTGAATTAATCATCTTTGATTGACACGTTGCCCCAAGAATTTCTGTATAGTCGTCATATTTCCTTTCTTTTTGTAATCCGCTGCCTTCTCATCCGCTTGGATCTGGATTGCTCGGTTCCGGTTTACAGTGCGCTTCATCATCTTGACCCACCATTTAGTGTTTGGAACTCGTTTTTATTTGCTTCAAATAACACTGTATATCAGTTCATGTCTTTGGCTTTCCGTAGTCCGCATTGCCTGACTTTCCAAGCGTTTTGGCGCTTAAAGTGCTACACGGACTGCCGGAACAATGTGGGATGCAACATATCCACGTACAAGGGACAGGATCACTCGCTGCTGCATATTTAAGGGACGCCGAAGACCTCGGAAGGAACTAAGCAGTTGCTATGCTGTCTCTGCCACACAATGAAACGTCTCGTTCCGAGTGGTCACTGCTTTTGGAGGGCCCGTCAAACTCGGTGGAAACATACGTTTTACTGCATAGTGGCTTTGATGTGAGCTTAGTGTAGGGAGAGCTGAAGGTTAACACTGCGCCCTTAAAAATGCAGACTTAGTAGTTTCCTTTTATTTGCAGGTCTCACCAGATTCCAGTTATCCTTTTTGAAGGACTCGGAATTCGTCGCATTCGAATGCCGTTATTGCTACCATTGTTTCCTGTAAGGATCCCTGTTAAGCAGGTCACTCGCCGCTGATCATCCTTAACTAATGTAAAATCGGGTAAACTAGGGGACGCCAGGGTTCGAGTATTATTAGGTGCCGATGTTCCGGAAAAACACCGGCAGTTCGAACGGCGTCGCTGTAGTTGGGTGTACCCATTTGCTTCGAAAACGCTAATCACTTGGATGTTAATGGAACCAATAAAGAAGAGCGACCAACCTTACACTTTTCTGCATTATGTACCAGAGGACGGTCCTTTGCCAAAGGCAAAATGTGAGCCGGGACAGCTCAGGTCCTACTACGCCTCAATTGAACCTCTCAGTTATTTCACTCAATTTGGCATCAATGGCACTTGCATTATGGACAGTGACGAACCTGCGCTTCCGCGCTCTGGTCCAGAAATGACAGCTACTTGGGTAGAATCGTCTCTGCCATGCTCTAAAATTTACGCCTGTTTTCTGATTTTTACTAATGAACTAGCCAGGGTGTTGTCTCTCCATACATCTGGTTTCTCTCGGTTCGCTGTACACTAAGGTGAACTACTGATGTTCACCTGGAGATGAAATCAACAATGCTGAATGAAAACGATGCGGCGAACTCGGCCTACAGATGCTAATGAGCATTACGGATCCGCAGGATGTAGTGACGCGGTTCAACATTTTTGACTACCGACGATCATCGAGATGAATGTCATTTGCACACATGCTGACAGCTCCATCGTTCGCAACCGTACCTTTAGATTTCACACTTGTGAAGCGATCTGCACCACACCCCATGAAATTGGAGTCATGTACTCCGCGAGCTTTAACTTGTTCGGCTCATATTGCCACACATTTGCAACAATGCTAAACTTGATGTTACGTCAATGGCTGCTGGCGTCAAGGCGCTTATGATTAGCCCTGTGGATTTCATTAGCATGACTGCAGAACACGATAGTGACTCATATACCGGTGTAGAGATGGTGTTTCATACTCAGGCGGCTATCCAGCGAAATATTTACAATCTCATTTGAAAGGTAGCCGAAGCGATCCGGCTGGTAACCGAAGTGCTTTGTGAAATCTGGAGAGCCTAAGACAGATTTCTGATGGAGGTGAATGAGTTTGGTGCCATGAAGATCCCACCAAACATGCGTATTTGATATGCACTAAAACGGGTATCGATTCTCCTCTTGGTTTATTCAAACAGTCGTCCCAGTTTAGATACTGAGAAAGGCTCAATCTGGGGTGAATGTAAACCGTTACTCAAATCGAAATGTCACTAATAACGTGTTTTAGTTCCGTTAAGCGCCTTTTTGCTCCCTGGCAATGATTTGTTGACTGTTGTAATTTATTTTTCATTTTGCTCACGCATTCCACTTGACTTCCGCTGACCTGTTCGAGTCTTTGGAAGATTTTGCAGAAATCACCGAACAACCGACTAAGAGCCAATATGTGGTTCCTCGTTTAGACTTAGCTACATTACCGTCTATTAGTTTGGATGTCAGGCAGCTGCATTCCGTATCATTGGATGGCTTTATTGCGACCCAATCCAAGTGTTTATTTGTAGTCCATCTCTTCTACTTTTTTGCAGCAGCGATTAGAACGTAGTCATTTACTCCGCTCGTTTATTGTGCAATCGATGGACTAGCGCTATATTCTCACAACTAACCAATCGTATGGAAAAAACAAGCAAACAGATACAAATAAGCGAGGTGTGAGTTTATTGCCGAAACCCACACCCTCATTAAGCGGACGTCACCCAAAAAAACTAGCTAGGAAGAGGAAAGGAAGCAGTTTCCGGGAGTGTTCCGTATGTGTGTATAAAAACAAGGCAGCAACATGCGATAAACAAAATGTTTAAACTTCCTGAGTACAAAATGCAACTATACTTTGGTTTTTGGCGATTTACGAGGGAAGAAACAGGGTGGGCGACAGTATCTGGCTTTTTCACCAAATCGTCCGTGGTACCATCAATGGCTAGGTGTCTTATACGGAGTTCTCGAAGAAGATTTAGAACTTGGCAAACGGAATTGGCTCCTGAAACGGTATTTTCTAGAACTCCCTGGAGCTACTACTTCGTTTTAACATTAACATAGCTGCGATGAAATTATGCATGACGAAGCAAGCGGATAGCCTGCCGCAAGCGATGGAGGCAGGTGATTGGACGCCTACGCATCGTCGCCTATACGCAGATTGGTTCCCATTTGACAGCGCTGGAGTGAGTTTGTTTGACTGATTCAAAGGAAAAATCTCATGCATGCAACAACGTCGTTAGTTATGGAACTGACCGGGTTAGTTACATCGAGGCTTTTATAACTTAATCACGCTGTCACTTTTGCTGAGCTTGCTTTATTGAATAAACCGTTTGTCCCTGGAGGACCTAATTTTACCATATGATGTCAAAGGTGGGATCAGAACGTGATTTCCTTTAAATGGCAAACCGTCATACACCGTGTGTCCATCCCGAAACTTGACGTATGATGTTATTTCCTTCGAAAGTTTGTCCTTTGTGTCCGGCCATCCACTCAAGATCACATCTTGCAGCGCCGCGCACGTCGCGTCTGCCTCCGTACAACACGTTATTTCTTTCAGGCGATCTTCAGTTACCGCCAAATGTGCCGGATTTGCTGTTCCGATTTCTTCTTGTTGGTGTTCGACTATCGGAAGATTAGCTCTAGCGAGAGCAGCTGCGTCCCCAGGGTGTACACAAGATCCATGTCGTATTTTTGAGGCGGATAAGCATTATTTAAGGACGTCGAGAGACACTATGTAATGGTTTGCTAGCTATTGATACGAGCGATTTATGGCCAGTTTACACGGTAGTTTTCCTCCCAAAGGTGTACCCGTTGAATCCCTCTATCGCATCGACAACAGCGATCATCTCCTTTTCGATCTGTGCATAGCGCTGTTCCGCTACTGTGAGCGCCAGACTACGAAAACCCATGAGAGCGGCACTTATTCCGCTCTGACTGCTGTCACATTGCACCTCTATAGCTGAGCTGGATTATAGTAACCGAGTACTGGTACATAACTGATGAGATGCTTGATGGATTCAAAGGCGGCCTCATGCTCTTTTCCCCAACTCTACTCTACACCCTTGTGTGTCAGTTTCCAGATGGACGTCATGATTTCAGCAAGCTTTGGTAAGAACCGGCTCAACTAATTCACCATACCATTTAAGCAACTAACAGCCTTGATGTCCTCAGGTTGTGGCATCTGCTCTACCTTGATTTTCTCATGATCGATCTTTATTCTCTCGGATGTCAGAACGTACCCGTGAAAAATCACTTCCGATTTCCGGAGCTCAACCTTCTCGCATTTGAGCTTTGTGTTCTTTTGCACGCAACGCTGCAAAAGTGGTGCACATTGGCATCATGTTCCTGGTCGGTTGAGCCGTAAGTCAGCACTTCGTCTACTACACATGTTACGCCGTCTAGATCGTCAACTTACAGTTACTGCTTTTGAAAAATTTCGCTGGATACCTTCAAACCAAACGGTAAACGTCGCCATCGTAAACGCCTGAAGGCTATGGCGAACATCGTCAGGAAATTGGATTCCGCTCTAGGACCACGTGCCAGAACGCCGACGATAGATTCACTTTTGTGGAATACTTTGCTTTAGCCTGAGCGGCAGGACATCTTCTTACCTTGGCAGCGCATAGTGCTCCCTGCGTAGAGCTTCATTCAATGGCTTAGGATTTATGCACAGACACAAATCACCGTTCCTTTTCGTAACAGTCGCGACTTGAATAACCCATTCTGTCGGCGGATCTTTCTTATGCATTGTTGTCTTTTGCTGTTGTCTAGCTGTGCGTGCTTTGACCGTATGATTGCCAGATACGGTCAGTTGTCTCTACTAGCTAAGATAGTCACACATCTACATTAGCATAGGAGATGCTATACATTTCGCGTGGTAGGCGGCGAAGCCACCACTTAAGGAATGAGTCGTCAATACTGGTGAGTTTAGCTAATTTGCGAAATTGACCATCACAATGGCACCTACCGCTTGCTCACGGAAAGCTAGGCCTACTTGTGGCACGAATAGCTGTGTTAAACAAGTTCGAATTTGTATAGAATGCACAAACTGCCGTAAACAATATCATCCTATATGTGCTCGCCTTAGTCTAAGTTCCATAATACGATTGATTCCCTCCGTTTTTGCACTGAGTGTACGGCTATTCCATTCTTCCGATGGATAGCTTTGTTGGCACAGAAGCACGGCAGGCTGACAAAGTTTCTAGAGGAAGTAACCTCCACGAGAGTTGTCCTACAGGAACCAGACAAATTAGTGCCTGGAATTCGATGCTCAACATCCAACTCCTGTTCAGAGCAGTGTAGCCCAGCCAAATATAAGAGCCACAATCCAGAATTAACCACCCCGATACTAGGAGCTGCGCATTGATATGCATTCGCTACACCTTTTCATCGTGGTCACGCGCCACATCGAATACTGCTAGTGGACTGACAACATACACGTCCGTTGTTGCTGCGCACTTGACAGAA